GATAGATTAATAATCTTGTTTACTTTCTAACATATTTTCGCATTTTGTGCTTTATGCCAGTATAAACCTCCATTATTTCCCCTTTAACGTCATACGAAAGTTTTTGTGCACCTGTTACTGTAGAAACTGAGCAGAATTCTTTGAATTTTTTGGCTTTTTTAGGCGAGAAGCTGCCATCTGTGCACTGTAAATGGCAACAGCATGTCTGTCATGTTATCAAAAGCTGCCAGCATGGTTCTCTCGCTCTCTCTCTCTCACACACACACACACACTTGTACATCTATTTTTGTGAGGATATTCATTGACATACTGTATTCGCTAGCCTCTTACCCTGACCATATCCATCAGAGCTAAACGCCTAACCATAACCCTTCCTCTAACCCTAACCTAAACCTAATTTTAACCTGAACCCTAAAACCAAGTTTTAACCCTCAAAAAGGTGTTTCACAAAATAAGGGCAAGCCAGCATGTCCTCACTTTGCACAAATGTCCTCACTCTGTAGCAAAAGATACTTTTTTGATCCTCACTATATGGCAATTACAAGAACATACACACATTCACACACAAATATTTTGAATTTTGTCTTGTCCAAGGACACTTCAACATGTGAGAAACAGGGATTTGAGCTATCAAGTCTGTAGTTAGAAGACAACCCACACTACCTGCTGAGCCACAGCCGATTAGGTTAAGCCTCCAGAAAATGAATCAAAGTCAAAGTAAAGTCCCCATTGGGAATGCAAACAAATGCGTTTGTGTGTGCATGCACCCTGTACTTAGTTAGATATGTGAATGCCTGAGCAAGATGATTTATGATCATAAACGCATAAATACTCACACATACAATATATAAAGGAGGACCCAGCTGGATCCACTCAGCAGACACTGATAAGCAGCTATAAGAAGAGAACTAAGTCTGTTTCAAACCGAGGAGGAAGCTGCTGCAATTCATCAGGTGTTATCAGGCATCAAATAGACTGACATGAACAGAGAAAGACTGTGGTTAAGAGTTAAACATTCTAGTAGTTACAAACCTTTATAAATGTCAGAATGTGGTGTGAATCCAGCAGGAAGTTCCATCAGCTTTGCTTTGCATGAGCTAAGATGTAGCTCCTGTCATATATGTGATTAGAAATTGCTTGTTACATCTCATGCGCATACATCTGTTACACACATGTTCTTTGTGGCTTCATTCAGACATATCATAAGTCACAATGCTCTCATATTTGGATCCTGATGCATTGAATGGAGCAGTGAGTTGATCATTAATGGTGTCATGGAGGGCGTAAGGCAAGATTTAAGGGAATAACAGTGCTCTGAATTCTTTTAGGAGCTGCATCAGGGTTTTAAAATGCATGTTACAGTAAAAGCCTCATAAATGCCAGAAACACGTGCCTTCACTGTAAACCCCCATGGCAAATGTTCTTATCAAATTTGTCATTTATTAAAGAGAGTATTGTGAAGTTTTATGTCTTGCGTGAGGGTTTATTTATTGGTGTATTTGAGTGACGACCCAACAATCAAGTGATACATTTACTGCAAGGCTTTCAGAAGGTGAACAAGATTTGCATTTAATACTTTGTGCCTGTTTTACCTTGTGCTGCTGTGGCCATTATGTTCTTTTGCTAGCATTCAATTCAGGCTTGTGCTATGTTGGAAATGTTCAATATTTTTGAGGTGACACATAGAAATACTGTGAAACATTGTGATTTTTATTTTAGATAATTGCCAGCCTATTAATGTAACAAGGAAAGAAAGAGGTTTTTGTTTAAAAGTAGTGTGGTAGGTAGGGGGATAAGTAAAATGTGTTTTTCCTGTGTCAGACTCATCTTTAATCCAAGGGTAGGGTGTAGGTTTGGTCTCAACATTGGCAGCCTCCCTCCTGCCCCTTGCGCCAGTGTGACAAAAACCCCAAAAAAAAGGCTTAATGCTGACAAACCAATTGGTTTATTAACATGTAAGATCTGTATTTGCAGTAGGATTTGCATTTATTATTTGGGTCTCATTTATTCCTGCAGGACAATTACGTATAAATGTACTGTATGTGAAAAGGATCTTATGAAATCAGCTTGTTTTTTTTTTTTTGTTTTAAACAAAACTAATGACCAAATATGTTGTCTTTCAAAAGTTCTTTTTGCTGAGCATTTTGAGAATGACTTTAAAGCTGATTCCTCCATATAATTACAAATTATAACATAATTAGATACACTAAAGATGCACCTGTTCCCTCATCCACCTGCTCTACTTTTCTGGCCTCATGTTTTGTCTCTTATATACTAAATAAATTATTTACTGTGAGTTTCATGTGGTTTTCAGATTGAAATTCAACAATTTTGCTATCGCCTCCCATGTTATGTTTACTTCTGATAACGACGCGACTGCTAGCCTACAGATAACAGAAGACAGGGTTACTGGTAAATATTGGAAGAGGAGCAGCAGAGAGGGCTGCACCTGCTTGGAGAGGTGGACACCTGATGGACTGACATCTCATTAAAGGAGATAGAGTTCAGTGAGGAGGGAGCGCTGACACCAGTCTAAGTTTAATTACTGTCAACTTTAGGTGATACTTTCTAAAAATGCTTGTGTGGTTGGTACAAGACCATGTTGGAGGAGAGGACAATAAAATAGCATGAGCAAAAGCAGCAGTGGTTGTCAAGCACAAAAAGTTATAACCTTATTATGAAGGTCTGATGTTGGGTAGGAGAAGGAGTGGGAGAAATAAAAGGAGAAAAGAAGAATGTGCTGTTCCACTGAAGCATCAGTAATATACCAACTTTAGGGTTATGTAACTAGTGGTTTACAGTTGCAGTGGGGTATTAAAACTAAAGCAGCAAAATAAGAATGTTTCAAGTAGTCTTTAGTCTGTAGGAGCTGCAAGGTTATTCATGTATATGTCTCTTTAGCACATCCTTTCTTTTCCTCATTTGGGATGGATACAAAGCAGCCCAGCATCACACGTGGAGGCTAGCAAATTATTTCTAGGACAATAAAATAATATAATATTATTACTTGTCATTTGAAAGTTTTATAAGAGCCCACACTCTCTGACTATGTAATCATACAATTTTTATCTGAGATGTGTCAGGTACAAAGAGAATACTGCAAGCAGTGTGCCAGTTATATCATTAAGCAAATGTAGCTTGATCTCCAAATGATCACTAATTGTGGTTCATGAAAATAAATTCCATCATCTTGGATTCTGTGACTTGGGCTGAAAGTTCAACAAATTATACATAGGTGGACTGTCTGGCAAGAAAATTACACTTTCTGCATAATAATGGAAGAGCCAAGTGTAAAATGATTTGAATTGTTCTCAAGGCTGTGCAGCGTGGGTTCAAAAGTGGGGTGCATTTAGTGTGGAAGCATCTGGATAAAAATTGTGACTGTGTTTTTGGACACATGGAGACATGCAGTATGATGTGGGATAGAGGATCTGACAGATTTGTGAGCAATATAAGACATATCTCTGATTAGGACAGGATATATGCATAAAGTTAGGACTGTGGTGGATAGCAGCCAAACTGCAATGCATCAGTGGAGGAAGAGGCTGTGCATCCTTTTTGACCAGCAGCAGTACACTGAGGCTGTGTTTGAGGATTTTGAAGGATACTGGTGATCATGCCAGTTTCTTCTTCTTTATTTTTCATGTTCAGTGTAAATTAATGTTTGCAAAGCCATGTTTATCAGATTATGGTTCTGCATTACTTTAATTATAACAGTTTTTTGTGAAATAATAATTATGTTTAATAAATAACAATTCTTGTGAAACTGATTAGCTATAATTTTGGCTTTCTGCTAATTTAATTCTGTTGTACTGAATTAATTTATATTTTCCTCATTTAATTACAGCTAGTGATGAGTGCTAGTAGCTCACACATAATGTGTTGGGTTATTTCATTTAAAATCATTTACTCAACTTAAGTCATTATTCATTAAAACCACATGGACCTCATCTGAAACCCTCAGTCACTTAGCTTTTAATTATCAAAACATAACTGCTAATGACTCATAATGTTGTCTCTTTGGCCTGTTAACATAATTTTGCTGACTGGTTTGCATCAGACAAAAGAGATCAAGAGTTGGACACATTTCTGTTTTGGTAGATACATGTGTGAATGTTCTGGTGTGAGGCTGGAATAATGCAAACATCTGATGGTGAAGAAAAAGTCATTTGCAATGAAGATACCAAAAAAAAAAAAAAAATCTGAATGGAGACACAACATGACTTGGGAACTTATTATTCATATTATGAGCCAGTGCCAGAGTTGTAAAACAAATTTAAGGAATAGCAAGAGACTTGGTTCTTTCTGACCAAACTGTGACCTCAAGTAACTTCGAAAAATACACCCTGAAGCTTTCTTTTCCACAACCAACTTTATCAGCAGCAGATAATGAATATATACAAGATTCACAATGCACTATTACACACGGTGGCAATGTTTTGTACATTAATGAGGCATTCAAATTCACATTATTACAGTGACATGTAATAAAGCACTGCATGTTGTGAGGCTTCTTACTGCATATGCACACATGTGGTAAATGCTCATACAAGTGTGTATGTACAGGTTCAGTACAGGAATACTGTTTCCCCTTCTAGTGTTTCCCCAATCTGTGGGGAGGTCTTAAATATGCAGTGTGTGCACAACAGTCAGAACTTGAACTGATCTGTGTGTAAAGAGTGTGAAAATTCCTAAATTGTGAACAGGAAGACACTTAGCTAGCTACATCAAGTGTTTGGTATCTGCTCAAAGTGAGGTTACTAAATACTTTCATATGCCACAATTTTGTTTTTTAGGTTCATAAAAATGTGTGTGTGGCCTGTTTTTACTCATATTGTGGGGACATAAATCTGTTTAAACAGTCACATTGTGCGGACCTGACATCCTTATAGGGACATAAAGCAAGTCCCCAAAATGTAAATTGTTACATTTTAGCGTGATGACTTGGACTAAGGTTAAGGTGAGTCTCCAGTGTGTGTGTGTATGCCTTAATTACTTACTGTTATGCTCTTGGCTCACTTCCACATTTCCCAAGACCATGGCTGGGACACCAAATGCTGAAGCCAGCACCCACACACAGATATTCACCACCTGAATACATGATAATGTGATGGTAAATTGCATGTTATGTTTTCCAGTAACTTATACCAATAGTGATTAAAGAGCAAGATGTATCATTTAATAACTGTTAAGTCTGTAAAGCTAAAAATGACTATTTGCATGGCATCTATGTAAGAATAATAAGGGTTTGTAAGAGTACAGTCAGTCAACATTCCAATTCACTTATAAAACAACAAAAAACTGTAATTTGCCAATTCATATAATTTTGCTCCGTAAATATTTATAGTCACTTTCTATTATATTTTGTTAACGAAATAAGAAAATGCATCACAGTTCAAATGCACAGATTAAAAATATCTCTGGTATCTCTGAAGCCATTAGAGGTAAACTGAAATTAAATGCAGCCATTACTAACGGGAGAATGGTCTGTTTTCATTTCAAAAGAGTACTTCACTAATCTGATTTAGCATTGCCCTCATTAGCATTTAACTGACAGCTAAAATTATATATCATCTAAAAATGAAATATTGAAAATTCCCTCAGCTGTTCAATTAGTGATTTGGGCAGGTTAGTATGAGATCCCAAAGCTTAAGAATAGATTCTGGAGGAAGTGAAGAAGAAGCATTTGAGGAAATTGTTTTGCATCTCAAACATTACACAACTTTTTTTGCAGCACTCCACAACACCTGTAAACAAACTTTGTTGTATAAAATCACTGGTAAACCCCTTTGCAGTTTGAAAACAGCAGTATAAGTGTAAATGGTCAGAGAAACAGTCAAAGCCCCTGAATATCCTCTGCTATCATGGTTTTGATTCTTCTTTTGTCATATTTTTTTCAGTTCTTAAAAAGGCATGTTTCTGAGGTTGTCATCACAGGACACAGTGTTTACTCATAAAAGTCCATTGAGGAAATCCCAAACTAGCTTCACAACTTTTGTTGTCTCATATTATTATTATATACTTTACAGAGATATTTATAATGCAGTATAAATAAACCTTAAACTTGTGGCTTATGTAGCACAGTGCAACACCGGCTTTGCTGCCTTTATTACTGCACAGCTGTTTAACATCTCAAGAATTATTAGATCTAATATGATACCAGACAAACGCAGCTATCTGATTATGTGACACCCAAATCCTTTCCAGTGACGTCTTAAAGCCGATTCATGCTTTCCTCTGGCCATCAGACAGACACAGACATGTTTCTATTCATACTACAGTTGGGGTATGCATACACAGACATGTACCACATGTGTGCACTAGTGATCTGACCTCTGACAACAAGAAGTGCTCCTTCCATTTTTGTATTTGACTGAACAACATGAAACATTAGAAAAAGTGTGTGTGACAACTTAACCATAATAGCACCAAGGATGGGGAGTAAACAGTATGGTGCACAAAACAAGTGTCTAGTTCACTGTGTGTTGCATGCTCAGTCAGTGCACTAGCAGTGCACATGTCTGCACAGAACCTATGCAGACCCTCATAAACTTGTGCAGGTGGCATCATTTACATCACAAGGACACTTTGACCCTGTCAAATGTGCAAATGCAGAAAACATGAATTGGAAATACAGATTAAGTAGAAGGAAAACATAAAAAATTGGAAGTGTGGCTATCACACAGAGTTCTGCAATATTCCATAGCAACTGGAATAATAATAATGCCTCTATCAGTTTCTTTTTTAATTCCTCCCACATGACAACAGCATATACAAAGTCAAAAGACTCATGACCTGACTCAGCTCATGACAACACTGTTTGAAGTGAGCTGAAGTGACTGTTGATGTATGATACCAGCTGTCATTTCAGGGAGAGTAAAGGTGTGAAGAGTTTGAAAAGGTGGATTTCTCACTTTGAAATGAAATGGTTTTTACCTTGGCCTTGTGAGGAGTCCTCATGTCCAGGGCTTTGACAGGGTGGCAGACAGCCACATACCGGTCCATACTCATCACTGTCAGGGTGAAGGTGCTGGTGAACATGTTGTAGTAGTCAATAGACACCACTGTCTTGCACAGAGCGTTCCCGAATGGCCAAAAACCCAGAAACACGTCTGTGCCCTGGAAACATCCAGAAATCAAAGAATGAACACAGAAATATAGTTGGAAGCAGAATTTAGAGCAGAACTCAATCTCCTCTGAAATATGACTTTGGACATTCAGTGAAGTGGAAACAAATCAGTGCCATGGAACTGTGACACCTCACAAGCAATCAGTGTTCAGTAGCTGGGAAGAGGCCTTCCAGGTTCAGGTGTTTTTTACTGCACTAAGTGCACTAATGTTAATAGCACCTTTTAAAACATGCTGACAAAAAAAGAAATTAAAAGTACAAGCCATTATCAGTTTGTGAAGATTTAAATGCAGCGGTGTAGTGATGGGTCTTATTTCAGAGTGGATATGGACCAACAGAAACTGGAAGACAGGTGGGGCACTGTACACCTGCACAGGTCACCAGTCTATCACAGGGCTGACACACAGAGACAGACAACCACCACACACACTCCACTCACACCTAATGTTGATGTAGACTCAGGAGCAGGACCATGCCTGTAATCACTTCCTTTTCCTGTCAACTTCCTATAAATACTGACAAAAAGACAGCATCAACTGCTTTCATTTTTATAACCCCCCCCCCCATCTACTTGTCTTTCTTACTGTCCTCTACTGCTTTATTCCTCCTTTCTATCTCCTACTCCATCCTCCTGTCTTCTTTAGAGATGCTAGTCGACCTAACCTGTATGTGTCTGGGACCTGGGAGGAAGCTGGAGTATCTGGAGAAAACCCACATGGTGATGGGGTCGGGGGACCCGAAAATTCTATACAGAAAGCCGTGGTCGGCTCCAGACCCACTCCACACACAGTGGTGGATGTGATGCTCTGACGTGATGAATTTTCAGCCAATACTAGCCAGTGGCATTGCATAATAAAGCTAATACATAATTCAACAAATGATTAATAAAAATCATAGATAAGCTAAATTACAATTTTGTGTTACACTTTATGCTAATGAATGAGAAACATTTGTGATCAATTATGGAAAATATATTTCCACATATATTATACAAATGCAGTTATTACGTGGGGTGGACACAGAGCTACAGATTCAGTACAACTGCTCTGGTACATGATGCTCCTGTTTTATGCATACATTTTGTGACTGAAAGTGGGTCTTTTATGATTTTGGTTTAAGGGTTTGCATCAGTAGGGTTGGGTGAGTTTTCTTACAGCTCACAGACAGAGCCAAATATTATATCCTTCTATCTGAATATCCTGTAAAACTAAAAGAAGCCATATTGTAGCACCTGTAGCTTGACTGATGCACAGTCTGAGCTAAAAAATAGGGCATAGATGTAGTGAACGTAAGACACAGAAGTTCACCAAAAAACAGTTTGTAAAAAAGTTGATGTTACCAAGCAGTGTACAAGAGAGAATAACCTTAAATTCTACAGCATGTTCTGCCAACTGACATGAACCATGGAGGTTTTATGAGGAGCGCTCCGTGGTGAACATGTAACACTTGCCACGTGTTTAGACAAGGAATTATTAATCTCTAATTAAGGCCAACAAACTGGAATAGGTTCAGCTACTGAAGCAATGTATGGTGTTCAAATGAATTTCACAAACCATATGTTTGAACACTTTCTTATTGTATTTGAACGTGTGCACATATACAAAACAATTTAGATAATTAAAATAATGAAAAATATGGAAAATTAATAAACCAAAATAACAAAAGCTTAACCGTTTTAAGTCTTTTTTTCTTTTCACAGACCAATATCAAAAAACTAAGTAATCCCTCCTGCATGTGAGGAACAAGTAAATCTTGAATAATGGTTTACTTAGGATACATTTCCTTTTTATATCTGCAATATCATAGGGTGCACCCAATCTAAATCTGGTATCCAATGTGGAGTGGAATCCAATTGGATAATTTTCAAATCCAAATCCTTTTCGAATCAATTAACCATACAAGAATCCAGTTTACAATACTGGTAACGCCATAATAACATTGTCTCTTCAGTGCATATACAGTTTCATCAGTACTAAAGTAGTTCAGTCCAAGGAAACAAAGGTCAAATCAACACTCCAGAAGTCCAAATAAGTCTGCGCTCCGTGGTGAACATGTAACACTTGCCAAGTGTTTAGACAAGGAATTATTAATCTCTAATTAATAATGATGATGAAAAAAAATATACTGCACCAGAAGGCGTATTGAATCCTTTGTCCACCACACTGGGAGTGTAGTAACACCTGTATGCTGACCAAAATTATCCAGATCTTCCCGTTTCAGAATCTGCTGGGAGGCTCGCCATCGAACTCCAAGAATGATTTATGATCATTTCACGAATGGAATAGAATGTCCCAAAACAAAAAAGACTGACCAATCTCCTTGTATTAATACGAGCATACGGTAATGTCCGCTCAGAATGGCGCACACACAACGCAGCCGTCTTATCTCTTCTGCTTCTTGCTCACTAACGAGGTAGAATTCCCCAATTCACTGCTGGCCCTACTATCTTTAGCTCACAGTGCTTTCACTTGCTACCACGACAAATTTTCAATTGGTGCCAATTCTTTTTCTTCCTTTCCCTCGCGACTGTATTCGTAGTCACTATGTCATATATCCAATTTCAATATTAAAGTGTCTTTGGCCTGTTCTGCTCACACTACCCAGGTAAACTCCCAAAACATGTAGCTCTTTTAATCTCTGTCCATACTCCGTTTTTCTGTTCTGCCACACCCCTGACTCTACCCAAGGGCGGAACTTGTGAGGCGTATCTCACTTGACCCTGACAGTTCCTGATTGGTTTTGTTACTCATCAATCTTCTACTTATTTCTTTTCCCATATGACAGTGGAAAATGCACAACCCTTCACAATAAAGTTACCTCTATGTATCAGTTTTTTTTAGTTTTTTTTTTTTTCTCAATAACCACAACATCAGGTGGGTTACATACGCATGCTCTGACTTTGTGTGTTCTCTGGGGGTAGAATTTTATGACTGAAAATATTTGAAAACCATTGCCCATACAGTACCCCGTTGATTCAGTGGAATATGATTGGTGTGTAGTACTTTTGGTTCATGGTTCAACATTTTTTTCTTTACAGTAAATTAACAAGTGCTGCCTGATGCGTTATTTTGTACTGCTATGCTGTTGTGGCCCTTGGATTTACAGCACAGGCTCAGTCTTTTCTTATCTTACCTTTACTTTTTTAAATCTTACATATATTCATTGGTTCTATCTTTGAATTCTATCACTCTGTGGAGGCAAAGGCACAACAGTTTTTTGTTAGGATGTCAAATGGGGCAGTTATGTTTTAATTTTATATTCCGTTCACTTCTATTAATCTGTGTTGAAAGTGGCAGAAAGTAACCTCATCCATAGGTGCACATTCGGTTAAACACAGTTGGTGTTAGTTTAACTAATGACTGCTGTGTTTATATGATATGCACATCAAAGTGTTTATTGTCATATGCATAGTAAGGAAACATGTTTCCCTGTACAATGAAATTCTTACTTTGCCGTCCACATGAATGCCACACAATACAAGTGAAATATAAAGTAGATAAGTAGCACAAAATTTAAGGCATTTTAAAATAGAAATGAAAGAGATATAATAAAAATATATAAGAATAATAAGAGAGAATATATGCTACATGGGAGCTGTATGTGCAATAGTCAACAGCGAATGTGCAATTATGCATGTGCAAACTGAGTATGTAAACAGTACAGGGGGAATTACACTAAGTATTTCCTGGTAATAAACTCCTGTCAGCTGTTTAGGAGTCTGATGGCAGTTGCAAAGAAAGAGTTTTTCACTTTAGAAGTACTGCATTTCACACTTCTGAACCTCCAGCTGGAGGGTAGGAATGTGAACAATCCATGCTGGGGTTGGGTGAGGTCCTTGAGGATGGAGGCAGCCATCCTGTGGACTCTGGGGAGGTAGATCCTTTGTAGAGAAGGCAGTGGAGTCCTGGTGATTTTCTCCACAGTCTTTACCACTCTCTGCAGGCACTTGCAGTCCATAGCACTA